CCGCCAGCCATGCCATGGGACGGCCCCAGTTGGCTCCCAGTTTGCAAACTGGGGTAAAGCTGGGGATGAACCAGCTCCAGGCAGAGGTGAATTCTGCCGCCTTTTTTTTTTTTTGTGCCAAATAGAAAGGAACAGGGGTTGGCAGTTACACAAACTGACTGGGCGAAGGCTTTGGCCAGCTGGGGCCGGAGGTACGGGGCCCGCTGTGGCCCTGCAGGAATTGGAGGAATCGCAATGACATTTTTTAATAGTTATTTTTTTCCCTCGCCCCTTCTCCTTTCCCATGCGGGGGGGCATCGCTCCCCTCCGGCCCCGTTCAGCCCCCTTTGCCCTCCATCCCTGACCCCTTCCCCTCTGCTTTTCCAGTCCCTCTTTCACCTCAACGTGCGTAAAAACAGATGTAAAATTATCCAGGGTTGGGGGGTTTTTTTGTTGGTTTTTTTTAGGTTTTTTTTTTTTTCATCAAAAGGCAACTTCTCAGCTCAACGTTCCACTCTCAGCAAGGGAGGGCTCTGGGAAAAGACTTTGCAGAGTCCCCCCCCAGTTAAAAACCCGCTGGGTTTAGCACATATTAAACCCTCCCTAGAGCTTTCAGGTTAAAAACTTGATGAATCGGGGTTTTTTTGGGGGGGGAAAAAAAAAATCATTAAAAAAAAAATAGGAAGCGCAACAGGGGAGGGAGCAGCTCCCAGCGCCGGGCAGACACTGCTATCTAGTGGTGCCAGGAACAGCTGTGCCGAGGGGCTCCCCGAGCTGCACGGGGGACAAAACCCATCTCCACGCCCGGGGTGCCCCCAGCTCCATACTGGGGGACACAGGGGTCCCCAGGGGACGTGGGGGCCCCCCCATGCCACGGGCTACAAGGACAAGGCAGAGCCAGCGAGCTACCAGGCAACTTTTCTTTTTATTTCTTATAAAATATATTTCATATTGCTGCTGTAAAAATTACATTTCACATTTTTATTTTATCCCCCCCCCCCCCCTCCCCCTTTTTTTTCTCCTTTTTAATTTTTTTTTAAACCAATAAAAATAATACTTGGAAGACAGCTGACAAAAGCTCCAACAAGACAGAAAATTCACTGACAGGGCATTGTCCCCGCTCGGCCGGGCAGCCGGTGGCCCCACGGGGGCACAGCAACGGTGACAATGTGTCCCCAACCCCTTCCCCGCTCCTCCAAACCCCCCCGTGACACCTCCGCGATGGCATCGGGGCACCGAGTGACAAGGTGGGGTCATACTGCGCTGAACCGACTCACTTTGCCTTTCGGGGTACATCTACTACCCCGCACATGCACCAGCAGTGGGGTGCAGATGGGGAGCAGTCTCTAATTAATTAGCGCCTAATTAAGAGGTTCCTATATTACATACATATGCACGCGCCAGGAAACAGCCAGATGGATGAGGGAAAAATCTTCAAGCTGGATTTAGAGGTCAGGGTTACCCGCGGTTGGGGCCAAAGAGGAGTTTTCTTGAGACCAGCAAGACTCAAGTGTCAGGAGGAAAATTCCAAGTCAGGAGGTGGCTGGAAATGAGTTAAAAAAAGTAATAGGAAAGGGAAATAATAGGGAAAGGACAAAAAAAAAAAAAATCCAATGTCAACCGACCCAATAGACACAGTGGAAGCCTGCTGTCATTTCTGCAAAAATACGAGAAGGTTTTTCTGTTTTAAGTGTAAAAATTCCAAAATACTCCCAAACCAAAAGGGGGAAAAACCCCCAAAAACCAAAAAACCAACCCACCCTGCACCAGTTTCTCCAGTAAAAACAAAAAGCCAACAGAAAAGAGCCACGAGCATAAGGACAATTCTGTCCTGTTAAGTCCGTACCGCAATAGCCCTGGGAAAAGCAGCTGGAGGCACCCCCCACCCCTCCCGAGCCCCCAACACTGATATAAAAAACTCCTACGCAAGATAATCCCTGCCGGGCAGTAAGTGCTACGCGCTGCGGGAGGAGGAGGAGGCACTGCAAGGGCTGGGGGGCAGCGGGGGGGGTCCCGCCAGCCCCCCATCCCACCCAGACACGCTGCACGCCTGCTTGTTCCAAAGCCATCGACACCTTTTTCTTCCTTTTTATGTATTTTCCTTTTTTTTTTTTTTTTAATCTTTAAGAGAAAAGCAGAAAGTTATTTTTGCTTTATTTTTCAGACAGCTGAGCTCCTGCCAGTGAAAAACCTGATCTCTGAGGCAGATCTGTGCTGGGAAGGGCTGGGGGTGCCCGACGCTATACCCCAAATTCGGGGGATGCCGCACCTTGATGCCAACCCCAGATGGCTTGGTTTGACAATTCCTGAGTGACTGAGCTGGGAGCCGCGGGAGCTGAGCTGTGTCCAGCCAGTGCCAGCGTGGATCCGGCTCTGCCCGACGCTGTTTGGGGCAGAAAGGGCATAAAAAGCAAGAAGTAAAATCTCTGGTCCTGCCTGGGTCTCTCTGAGCCGTGGGGACAAAGGCACAAGGTCTGAGGAAAGCACAAATTCACCCTTTTAAAATTTTTTTTGCATCCTTCCATGATCTGGGTGCTGCTTCAAGCCCCATTTGTAAAAAATATTTGGAAAATGAAAATGCAGCGAGGTGCTGTGTGGGACTTCCCAAAGTGCCAACTTGCTTCCAGAGAGCCACTTGCATCTCCAGCATCACCGAAAACCTGCCCGCACCCCGGCGTTGCGGGGCCCTTCCCCGAAAGGGAACATGCCGAGCTCCGCGAGGCGACGCAGGATGGGAAATGCTGACTCGGCCGTTCAACCCCTGGAGATCAGACAGCAGCAAAGACGTGGGGACTTTTTTTATATTGAAAAAAAAACTTATTTTTTGAGTAGTGCAACAAGCCCACCACACAATTGTTACAGGGGCTGTGGATGCAGAGCACCAACCTGCAACGCGCTTTGGAAAGTCATTTTTGCAATAAAATGCTCAACCTGGGAACCTGCAAAAAGTCTCCGACGCCAGCGGGAGGGGAAAAGGCTTTTCCTGACATTTTGCTCCTAACACCACGCTCCGGCAGGGACAGGAGCCTGAGCGAGCAGCTCTCAAGGAGCAAAACCTCTTCTCCTCCCTGGGATTTGAGCTGGACCTGCCCAGACCCACCCTGGGGACATAACCCCATGGGGTCGCACCCTGCCTGGGGAGTTTTGCTCCTGCTTTCCAATGGCCAAATTTTGCATCTGCCAGTTGGATAGCGGAAAAGAGATCAGGTTGTGAAGTGATAGACTGGTTTTATGTACAAAATTACAAACAAACAAAAACAAAAAACCCCAAACACGTTGACAAGCACCAGTAACACCTATATATGTACCTCAACCTGCATCGCCTGCCCACCCGATCCCTTCAACAACGGGGCTTGCGTCGACCCGGGAGCAATATCGGACACTCCCAGCCACTTGATTCAATTTTGTAAGGAAAGCTGAGACTCAGCGTGGGGTCCTTAAAAACACCCTGGGCCCCAGCTGCATGCAGGGATTGCTCTCGGCTCGATGGCTGTGGGTTATGGACTACGATTACCAGAAACGTAGCAAAAAAATAATACAAATCCAAATGCCTGCCCCAGTGAGGGGAGAAAGCCGAGGGGGCAATCCGGCTTCCCGGCCACACGCATCCCCGCTGGACACCAAGTGCAAGGCCCCGCCAGCGATGCTGGTGTAGGTGGGACAGCCGTGACAGTGACAGGAAACCAGCAGCAATTTGGGTTGGGTAAATGGATATTTTAAAGGAAAACTGACTCCCGTCAGGCTCAATGGGATTCAAAAGCAAATATTGAAGTGTTTCAGTGAATTGGGGCCATACGGTGATGAGGGAAAGCCCCTCCCAGCTGCCTTTGCTGGTGGAATCATTACGTAAAAAAATAAAAATTGTTCAGCCTAGTTTTGAAAGACACGGCGAGGGCCACAACATAGGTTTTCACGAAGCTAAGTAGACTTATGAAGCCTAAAACGAGAAGGAACACCAGGTTTTACCTTAAAAATTCTCATTGTTTTCCTGATTAAGGTGTTTTGAGTGGGGTTTTTTCCCCCCCAAACGCTTCCAAAACCGACGCACTGGAACCAACCGGAGTCACGCGCAGGCTCAAGCTACTGGCGTGACGCGATGCGAGCAAAGACAACATTCACGTGGGGAGAGAAACCTCCGCCCCAAGAACCGCTCCAGCCTTGCTTGCAGCAACCCAACAGCGTTTCTTTTTTAAAGCTATTGGTGTTACCGGTCCCCTCCCTTTAAAGGATACAAGGGATTTGCACTTTCTAGGTAGTCAAAGGACACAGGAAGCTGCCTCAAGGCCTCACCCCAGCCACGCTGCAACAGATTTTAGGGCTGATCTGGGAAATGCAGGAAGCTCTTTGGTCCTCAGATCACCTACAATCTTCCCTGAAGCCTGAGGGACCGGCTTCCTGCCCTCCCAGCCCCAGCTTTTACTGTACAAAGGGAGATATTCTTTAGGTTTAAAAAAAGTTGGAAAAAGTTTTTTTAAAAAAAAAAAACAAAACAAACAACAGAGCAAAAACCCAGCAGATGTACAATATACAGAAGGAGGAATTTACACGCAGCTCTGGAGGCGTCTTCTGGGGTGGCAGGAGGTACCTCCAAGGTCCCTGGTTGCAGCAGTGAGGGACTCCGGTGCCCCCCGGGCAGGAGCAGGGGAGGGACGCGGCACCGCGGTGCTGCGCTCAGTCCAGGAAGCGCTGGCAGGCTTTTTTCCACCGGCAGGCTGTACACCACTGATCCCGGTGCTCGATGCCATAAACCTTACGGCACTTTTTGGCTTCACCGCGGACTTTCCTGCAAAAGGGGAAGAGAA